GATGGATGGATGGATGGATGGATGGATGGATGGATGGATGGATGGATTGAAAGAGAGAGAGGCAGAGGCAGAGAGAGAGAGAGAGAATAAGAGAGGGGAAGAGGAAAAGAAAAAGAAAGAAAGAAAAAGAGAAAAAGAGAGAAAGAGTGGAAGAAAAAGGGAGAAAAAGAGAAACCAAAAGAGAGCAAGAAAGAAAAGGGGAAAGAGGAAGAAAGAGAGAAAGCAAAAGAAAGAAGAGAGAGAGAGAAAGCAAAAGAAAGAAAAAGAAAGGAAGACAAAGAAAAGAAGAAAGAGAAAGTAAAAGACCGAGAGCAAGAAAGAAAAGGAGAAAGAGAGAAAGAAAAAGAAAGAAAAGACAGCAAGAAAGAGAAAAAAGGGAGAAAGAGAAAGAAAGAAAAAGAAAGGAAGACAAAGGAGAAAGAGAGAGAAAGTAAAAGAGAGAGCGAGAGAGAAAGAAAAGGAGGGGGGGAAAAAAAGAGAGAAAGTGTGTGTTGTCTATCAGGCCTGATGCCAAATGGGAAAGGGTGGCGCCAGGCCTGCTGGAGAAGGAGGTTGTCCATGGGCCAGCTTGCAAGGGGAGGGGGTTCCTGAGGCGTTGCCAGTCCGCCCCCCTGGAGCTGGCATCCTTCTGAGCCCGTGCCATCCTGTCTGAAGTGCCGGCCGCTCGCTTGTAAAGCCAGACATTTGCATACAGCAGCTGGATGAACAGATGCGGCTTCCTTAAGGTAGCCGGTTGTTACGCGGAGTAGTATAACGGCGGGTGGGAGAGTTCGTAAGATTGATGGGGGATTATTGTCAACGGTTTTGAAAACACCTGAAACTGAATTGGGGGGGGAAGCTGGCACAAAGCCTTCTGGCCAGCCATTTTCCCACGGTTCCCCTCCGAAAGTTCAGCCAGGAGCTGAGCTGGCCTTGAAGTCGGCTCCCCTCGCTGTGCCCGGGACACGGTCCATCAAGGTACCAAGCAAAATCTTTGCAAGCCATGCAAGGATCGGATGGATTCCTTTGACCACAGTAGAATATCTAACCCAACTTTGATGTTCTGGAGGCAAGTTGTTCCACTAATTTATTGTTCTAAATGTTAGGAAATTCCTCCTCGGTTCTAAGTGGCTTCTCTCCTTGATGAGTTTCCATCCGTTGCTTCTTGTCCTGCCTTTCAAGTGCTTTGGAGAGTAGCTTGACTCCCTCTTCTTTGGGGCAGCCCCTCAAACATTGGAAGATTGCTATCATGTCGGATGAGAAGCAACGGACGGAAACCATCTACGGAGAGAAGCAACTTAGAACGACGGAGAAATGTCCTGACAGTGAGAGCACAATTAAACAGTGGAAGGGCTGATCTCCAGAAGTGGTGGGCCTTTCATCCCTGGAGGCTTTCAAGAAGAGACTGGACAGCCATTTGTCCAGACTGGTATAGGATCTCCTGCTTGTGCAGGGGGGAGGGTTGGACTAGAAGACCTCCAAGGGACCTTCCAACAACTCTGTTACTCTGTTAAACGCAAGTGTGTCCCAACGTAAGGCCAGGCTATATCTTGGCGCCTTGACTCCTCCAAGACTCCTCTCAAGAGCCTGCAGATCCACCAGGCAGATGTTAGCTTCTCCGGCAGGCCAGCTGCTCCCCCATTTCCTGTCCCGCTGACCAGCTCTTAGCCATGGCCGCACCAGCTTGCCAACAATGGTTGGTCTATCAAGCTCTGAGGAATCCAGGCCTGAGGAGTTCTCCCCGCCACAAAGCCTCCCTCTCTCTAAAAATGGATCTCAGACAACAGCCCTCCCCCCCTCTCTTTTCCCTTTGGCTGGAGGCAGAATCCTGCAAGGGGGGAGGGCGGGGGTGGGCTGGACGTTGGGCATTCAGTCCTCGGTGGCACGGGCCTTGGGAAGGAAAGCGTGGTTGCCAACCACGCCGCCCGCCACTTGAGCGGGACAGAAAGAAAACTTCCGCTTGGACTAATTGTTTCATTCGAGTACAGCTCCCCCGAGAAGGCGCTGGATCCCAGCTGGCTGTCCCCTCCCCTCAGACTTCCCCTCCAGGCGTCACTTTGGGATTTTGGCTGGGGCTGTGGGATATGACTGTCTGCTGAACCCAGAGCCAAAGCATCGAGGGGCCAAAGGCTGCCCCGTTCCCTTCCCGAGCAGGGTTTGTTCGGAAGAGATATAGGTTCCCCTTGCAATATCTAAAGGGATCCCATCGAGAATAAGTGGGTCAAGCTCTTCCTCCAAAGCACCTGAATTCGGGACAAGAGGAAACGGGTGGAAACTAATCAAGGAGAGATAGATAGATAGATAGATAGATAGATAGATAGATAGATAGATAGATAGATAGATAGATAGATAGATAGATAGATAAGAGAGAGAGAGAATAGATAGATAGATAGATAGATAGATAGATAGATAGATAGATAGATAGATAGATAGATAGATAGATAGATGATAGATAGATAGATGAGAGAGAGAGAGAGAGAGAGATGATAGATAGATAGATAGATAGATAGAGAGATGATAGATAGATAGATAGATAGATAGATAGATAGATAGATAGATAGATAGATAGATAGATAGAGATGGATGGATGGATTGATGATCGATAGATGATAAATACAGAGGTAGAGATATGTACAGAGATGGATGGACGAATGGATAGATAGAAATAGAGAGATATAGAATCATGAACATCTCTTCA